CCCCAAAACCCCAAAACCCCAAAACCCCATGCCTTAAGAATATCTCTGTTTGTTAGATTTATATCCAAAAATAAATTAAAAATAGTAAAAATTGATCATGTCAATAATTATAAGCGAATACTAGTACTAACCTTCCCAAGATGCCACAAACAGATCGAAATCCAAGTAAAAATGGTCATTCCCAAAAGAAAGATGATTTTCAAACTTCAATAGATTTGATATAAAGTAACATATAGCAATTAGCTTAATAAATTTATTTTAGCCAGACTATTGCCTATTTGAAGGATACTTCTACATTTTCAAAGGAGAGAGGACTTTCATTCTCGAAAGTGAAGAGATAAGAAATAATCATAAAATCTGATGCTCCTCCAGTAGGCACATATTAGACCTAGTCTTCATTTAATATAATCAACAAGCAGTCTACTTTAAATTCTACCTCTACAAAGATCTTATAAAATCATAGGTCTTTTCTTGATGATGATAGCTATAAAGATTAAAGTAGCAGTGACTTAATTAGAAAATTTAATACAACTGCTTAATCAATCAACAACTAGCATTAGACATTGCAATCATAGAGTAGAAATAAAACCTAAGATCTTTCTACTGAAATAAGGTCTCATAGCACTACTTTAAAAACAGTATCTGAGTTTGACTGAATGAACTCGTTTTCAAGAAACACTAAGAATTTCTTGCCAGGTCCAGGCACCTATGATGTCAGCACCTTATATAGCTCAAGATTGCCTAAATAGCCTTCTTTTACATTGGGGTCAAAGCATAAGATATCATCTCTACTAATAAATAACAAGCCAGATATTCCAGATCCAGGCCATTACGACCCAATATCAATGAGGTAAGATGGCAGATATGTACACAGTAAATATGAGAATACTAAGGGCTGCAAATTTTCACACAAAACAGACACAATTATGCATGAGAAATTAAGTAATCATTTTATTATCATCAATTTATTCTTTAGGTAAAAAACAAATTGTGGGGCCAGGCGCCTATGAAGCAGATAATTAAAAAATTATGAGATGCTTATCGAATTTCAGAAATAGAGAGAGAACTATATTTCCCATATCTAAACGGTTAACTCTTGGAGATGTGTCTAAGGAGACTAAGTTAGTACCAGGTCCAGGAGAGTACATCTTGCCTTCAGATTTTGGAAATTACAAATACCAGTTCATTCAAAGAATGTAAATTAAGAAAAAGCAGTAAAATCTTAACTCCTCCAGCTTAGTCAAAAATGATGCTTATATGGATCAGTAATAAGAAAAATGAAGAATTGCTTTGATATAATTATAAACAATTATCTATTTTTAATCTTAATTTCATTAGTCAATATAAGAAAGTTGGAATAATAAAATTTGATTTAAATCACAATAATAAATTATCAATTTTCAAACCTTCGATAGGGTTGTTAGCTTCTAAGTTGGTATCGCCCATGTCTCATTCTGCTTAATCTCATTCTAAACTTACCATAGGCATGTGGACATAATAGATAGCACAAAATAGGGATAATCTTCATGAAAAATGCGATTGTAAATAATATCAATAGGTAAATAAAAGCTATCATTTGTATCTTCGCATGCCAGAATGCATATTTGACAGCATATGTCAGATTTAAGTCAGGTTTGATATCATAGAGCTTGTAAATTGCAGGCTTAAGGTAAAATATGGCCCATAAACAATAGCAGATTGATGAACTGAAAAGTATCAAGCCATTCAGAGAGAATATAGCCACTCTTCTTTCGAAATAATCATGAGCCTTGATTTGCCTAGTGGTGAACTCAAACTCACTCCAGATCTTGAGCATAATGAAATAATATCAATATACTTACTTGAGTTTTTGAGTGTTCATACTGCTGTCTGAAGTATACAGTCAACGTCATTAAGAGTACAAACGCCTGTATTTGATAGTGAAAGACCAAGCTTTCTATATACTTATTGTAGGCTTAGTAAAAGTATGAGTCTGGGTTTGGAGAATTTCTTTCGATATAGTAAAATAAGGAGGCAGTATTAAGACTTAGATTCAAAGATATTGGGATGAACCTAGTGAGATTAGTTGAAGTTTGAAATTGATTACCAAATATTATGGAGTAAGTTTTAATGATGAGGAAGACTAAAAAGCCAGCGACGGTCATAAAGCCACATCTAAATCAAAACTTCCATTTTAAGAATTATTTCTGGTTATCACCCAAGATTCATGATCTAATTTGATATATACTCAGACTATATTAAAAACTGTGATCTAAATTCTACTTTAACTTCATGGGGTTTTGGGGTTTTGGGGTTTTGGGG